GTTCTAATGCAACTACACGAATAATATTACATATGTTTTTAAAAATCACTATTTGCAGATGACCTGAAGCAATTCATATGCTTTGTTGATGGTGAGTTTTGGTGATGAGATGTGACATCTTTAAGCTATATCAAGAAATACTGCCAACTGAATTTAAGTTGAGTATGCAGCTAATATTTGTTGCTTTCCTTCTCCCTAAATTCTGAAGCTTAGAGTTTTAACTTGGAATTGTTTTGTAAGTTTACCTCTAGCCAAAGTCCATAAAATGGCTTATGTCTGTCAATAGTTGGCCTAATAGATTTGCCCTGTGTTGACACTTTGTTCTTCATATACAAGACCATGTATATGACATAGCTGTGTTGTTTTTAGTGGGCTTTACTTTAAAATGGGATGAGGATTTTTAACAATTATTTAGTTGTGTAAGTGTTTTTAGTAGGACTTTGGGATAAATCATTTATTCATTAATTCATGGTTTTCCTGTATTCATTCTAGACTATCATCAATAATGCATTGAATCTCTGACCATGTTGTGGGGTTATCAAGAAAAGAGCAACATGCTGAGGTTAGAGGTGTGAAATTGATGAATTCTCTTGTGTTTACATTGTTGTGTGAAAACATTGTACAACAAAGTAAAATTACCAAAAAGAATGCCTCCTGCTAGTCTTGGGAAGATTTCTTTATCAGAGGAAACACCATCAGAAACTAGATGTACAGGAATAGAATTTTTCATGGACAGGGAAGGGGACATATTTCTGACATGAAGCTGTTGAGAGGAGAGAAAGACATGAAGCAAGTTTTCTGGTACATGCTATGGCTAAAGCTTGTAAATAGATTGTGATGAGAGAGATGACCAAAGATCAGGTGCAAGGACAGGCCAGATTTTGGGCACCACAGAAATCCCCTGCTGCAGACCATGGCAGTGGAGATCTTTTAAAGGGTTTTCAGCAGGAGAGCAACTGAGCTGTACATTTTAGAAAGAGACTTTTGGCAGCAATACGAAGCATGAATAGGGATTGCACACAATAAGAGGCATTAAATGATTTATCTGGGTTACACTGAGACATGAAATAAAGCCAAAGTGGCAGGGATGGAGAGGCAAGGAGAGGAGTGGAAAAGAGAGGAAAGGAGTTGATGTAGGATATGAACAAAATAATATTGACAAGTCTGGATCGATGTCAAATTTGGTCAAAGTGGAAAATGCAAATTAGTATAGGTTAATACCCAGGCATCTGTTTTAAGTTAGTGGGTGAATGCTGAGGCTATTCAACAATAGGAATAAAAAGGAGCTTTTGGAGAAAACGTAAGGAGTGTTTAGTGTTCAATGTTAAGATGCATTTTGTTTGAAGTTTACATATGCTGACCAAGTGGAGGTACCAAGTAGGTCTTTAAATATTGGGCCTGGAGGTCAGAATATGGCACTGGATGTATTTACTGAATTGGAGATAGAGATGTGTTGGTCATCAGCACTTAAGAAATAGAATATTGGTAAACTCAAAGTCAAATGATGAGAGGAGGAAGAGAAAAAATAGGCACAGTAACCTGCAGAAAAATTTAAAAGGACAAGAAGACTGCAAGCTCACCAAAGTAAGCTGTCCTTTATTTTCTTTTCCACAGTTCATTTTTCAGACATCTGGGTTGCTTCAGCTTCCCTCCATCCTAATTGAATGTACCAGTATGTTATGCCTGGACCACAACTGTAGCCTTTCAACTTTTCTCCCTCTCTAGAGTTGCCCAATTCCTACTCTCCCATCTGTTCTCCACTGAGCAGCCAGTATAATGTCATAAGGAGGTAAATCAAGTCATGCCCCCGCCCCTGTTTAAACTCTTCAATGCCTCTCAATGGACATGTGGTAAATTCTTTCGTCATCATTATTAGAGTTTTCTTCCCCCATTAATTTTTTTCTTCTTTGTCCTTTCTTTTAACCCTAGAATAGCAAATACATTATGAAAACAGTTTAGAAAACTGTTTAAAATATGATAACTGGCAAGTTTATGGAAATATATTCCTCATCAAAGTGGCTTGTTTATATCAGGAGCATTTGATTTCTTGAAAATGCCTTATTTGAAATGAATGAGAGTTAACTAATGTTTCTATCATTTGTGTTTTATTTGACTCCTGAATTCCAAGCAACAAGTAAAATAAAACTATGAAAAGATGCTGGGCACTGTTGGAGCATGCTTGTAATCCCAGTGACTTGGGAAGTTTGAGGCAGGAGGATCAC